GAATCCATCGAAAACACACGTCGAATAAAAATGTTCGTCGAATCGAACACTACAGGGTCGATTGCTGCCTACATCCACCCTCGAAATATTCGCAAAAACACCCAAAACGAGAAATATGCTGCACATTCGCTGTAACGAGGCCGAGGGGTGCGATAAGAAGTTATCGATACCCATATCCAGGATTTCCAGAATTTATCGAACGATCGCACAAGAACGTTCTCCGTTCGATCGAAACAACCGAGCTCCGCTGTTTACCCGCCATCGAGACTCGCAAGAACCATCCACCCTCGAACGATGAAACATTTGGCAATCTCGATACCGATAGAAGGGGGTGTGATATGCTATCGATATCCCCGGAGTCTCCAGAATTTATCGAAACGTCGACTAAAAAGTGTTCATCGATTCGAGAGAATCGTGATCGCGCCACTTACCAATCCCTCTCCACGCAAAAACCACCCCCCTCCCGAAAAAGAAATATTCCCTCGCAATCTCTATACCGAGTGGAGGTCGCGACCTTTTTTTTTTCCTCCCCATCCGCGGTTCGAAACTTTTTAATTGCGAGGCTCTCTCGAGCCGAAGCGGGGCCATCCAATTTGCGCGAATGGGATTTTTCTCGAACGTGACGCACTCATCCCCTTCCCCCTCCCTTACTAACCCCCTACCCCATCCGCGAAGCGCCGTTCTACCCCTTTCCTTCCTTCCTTCCGCCGTGTACAGTCCCATTCCCTGCCGTTTCCGCGATTCTTTTGTGACGTAAAAATTGAATCGGAGCTACAGAGACGCTCACGCCCGTGTTACGTATACACATTCACATACAGTTCTCGGCTGGACCGCCACCACCCCGAACGCGCGCGTGCGCCATCCATTGTCTACATTCCGCCCCCTACTACATACAGAGTTCCCTTTCTCCGCTGTCCAGTTTTTCAGGTTAGCTATAGCTTCATTGTCCGGCAGCTTTTGCACATGCCAGCTGCAGAGGTTACGGGGACTACGATCCAGTTTCTCTCAACCCACAACCCCATCTCTTGTACCACCCCTGATTGTCTTCGATGGTGTCGCTGACTGGAACAACGATAGCTTTAACGACGAAACGGAAAGACACGTCGATAGGAAAAATCGAGGCGTGTAATCGGAACATTGACACGCTATGCGCACACACGTGGGGTAAAAGTAAATTGTACTCAGAAATATGGTCATTCTGTAGAAATAGAACATTTTACAGATTACAGATACTAATTGTAATTTACATCGGCATTAATATTGATTAATATATGTTAGAAATTTTAGATATTACACTGCTCGAAATAGTTACAGGGTGGCCAATAAGTCCTCGACGACTGTGATTCAGAATAAAGAGGTAACCCTGGAAGATACCAAAATTTTGTAAAATTTTTCAAAATACTTTGGAAATCTCAACAACGAAAAATACTATTTTGAGTGTTATTAACCCCGTTGGCGCCCAGATTATTGAATCGTTATTTCAAAATTTTTAGACTGATGTGTATATTGTGGTGTACAATAAATTAATACTCTGTCGGATACTACCACGACCTTATTGTAAGTTTCTATCTGTTTCGTACACTAAATTAGATTTTCAGTCAAATTCAGTGTTTACATTTTTCTACCCAGTACAGTACTTCCTTAAAAGAACTGTGTACAATTTCTGATTCGAATGCATCGTAATCCAAGGTACATCGATCAAGCCTCCTTACCTCAACGAGATTTCCTTCCTCTATCAATAGCTTCATCGTGTTACGCGTTAATTATAATCTCGCGCAATAGAATCCACGTCGAACGATTAAACGTTAATACCGAACGATGATTGCATCAGAGATCGGGAGAAAGTTCATTTTTCGAAATTAGATTCGTAATCTCGTTTACTTGCCAAGTAGAACGAGACCGGTCATTAGCACTCCCGCTTACGATGGATTCGCCACGGTCGATTCGGATCCAGGGAGAAAACACGGGGAAAACAATCGTCGGATAGAGGCGATGGCCTCTCGGACCGTGACGAGTTTTCTTTCGTTAATTACGGAGCCGACGTCGCGCTTCTTTGCTTCCCGGTGAAGACAGTACGTGTGTGACCGGTAGCAGAGAACTTGTGGGTCCCGTGGGCCTCGTTAATGCGCGTGACTGATCCGAACAGAATAGGAGCAGTGAATTACGACTAGAGATGGTGTGCAAAATCACTAATAATGATTTATCACGGTGAATTCTCTCACTGTGGTCTTAATTTTTTATCTCTAAAGAAACACATATTGAATATGATTTGAAAATTAATTACATTGATAATTTGAGGTTTGAAAAATTAGTAAAAAAAATTAAATTATAAAAGAATGATTTGCTATAACTATACAACATGTATCGTTGATTAGAATTTATAATCATTGATTTATTCATTATTCTTCATTGTTTCTTATTATTCCTTTACTTTATACGATGTAACTAGCATTTTTGTTTTCATGTAATTAATATAAAATATACAGGTTATGTGACGCGTGCAAAGAACTGTTGTTATATTCTCTATCAATCAGAGACGATCCTGGAAAATCAGGAATCAGTGTGAAAAATTCCCATCGCGATTGGGAACGAATGTGATCGAATTACTCGTGATTTACAAGTAGCAGTTTACGCCATCTCTAATTATGACAGCGTTTCCACGCGTGGAACACACTTGATTCACCACCAAGGTCGTAAATCATGTCTAGCACGCCTGTGTTCCGGGAACACAGAGCCAGGCGGTTCAGGGAACCGTCGCGTCGCGCCCAGAGAGTGTGGGTAGCGGTTTGAAAAGGTGGGAAAGAAGCTGATATTGAAATTCCGGGAAGAAATAAATATCCTTTACCGTTGTGCACGGGGACAGAGAAAGGAAAAAAGCGGAAAACGGAAACCGCCGGTAGAAAAAGAGCACCGGGAATGGGGAGTATTTTCACCGGAATAAATTGCGAGCTTTACAAGAGGTTAGGATAAGGGAGACATTAAAAGTCGCGACTCTTTTCGTCGTGGAATTTTATTGTATCGACTTGTCCGTAGTTTATCGATGATTATGTAGAATGTTTTGGGTTTTCGATAGATCAAATACACGATGGGATCGAGAAGAAATTTTTCTGTTCACGATAAATTATGGTCGTTCAAATTCTGCGGTTCGACATTTATTATGAAACAACCTAATATATGTCAGTTGAGTGATTGTCTCCTTTTAGGATCGAACTACGACTACTAGCCCTTCATTTGCCAAAGTATTCAACGTCACCCGAAATTTACATTTTAAATTTATATTTAAAAATTTTATTTATTATTAAGATTTTGTATTAAAAGGAAATTATTACTGAAAACAATTACTTGAATTTACAATAAATTCGTAAAATCAAAAATTAAGCACCGATTAATTGCTGTGACACTAAAATTTGAGGAAATTCAAAAAATGAAGTTACCCACTTTGGTCTGTGAACGGTTCAATTGTACGCAGAAGGTAAATCTGTTGAATGATATTCCTGCCTATTACGTGTGACTTGTGATGAAGATTGTAATCTTATCTAAAATATTCTTTAAAAGGAATGTTTATTAACCTGTTAATTGATTGTGACGTATTGTGGTTCAAGCTACATCAGATCATTTCTATTTGTTTTTATCGTGTTCAGGTGAGAATGGAGGTTTGGAAAGTTATTTGGCTAATACATTAGACACACTAGACGATGCTCCGAATTTATAGACGATACTCTGTATACCGAAAGAAAGGTAAGAAACTTAAACAAAGAAATCGGATTACGCGAAAGGAATCCAACGTGACGGGGAACCCACGAAATCGATAATTCGCTGAATGGTTGCCAAAGGTAGGAAAGGTCTCTCCTAGACAGAAGGTCAGAACGTAAGTCAATTGGCCGCGTCTACGAGAGAGTCTCTTACGTGTGTTTACGTAACAGGTGGTGGTATCGAAAATACCTTGGAGATGATGGAGCATAGGTGACGAGAGATCATGGACAAAGGCCTTATGCGTTCCTTTCACGTGTATCCTCGGTTAATCTAGACGATCTTCCTTCTGGAAAGAGACTGGTTCTCTGTCCTTGCGGTGAGTCGCCGTCGACTCTTTCCTGTTGTCGTTGTATTGTTCGCGGTTCCACGTGCGGTGAGCAAATGAGAGTCAATTATACCGCAGAGGTTGGTAAGGAATTCATCACTCTATATTAAGCCTTCCGTATTTTTAGATCACGTCCAGAAAATATTTTTCATTACTATTCACTTCCACGCAAAAGGCAAACACTTCGTCTGGACAATAAACTCCCGATCGATCACATTTCCATCGTACGGTGTGTGACACGCAGGTGGGTTCGCGTCACGAGCGCACATCGAACGTTCTCACGAATGACTCTAAGCGACAAGACGTTCACCTCTATTTATAACCAAGATTGCGGGGTAGTTTTCACGCGTCGTTGAAGGTAGCCGTGAACGCCCTGGCAATTTCGGTTCACAAGGGGCTGAACAGAGTCGTGGAAAGAGAGCGAAAGTGGGGTTGGAATACACTTCGCAGGCAGAAGTGGAATGATATTCAGAACGGCAAGATTTATTTAAATTTTCGTGACTAGACTGCTTCTCGTTGGAACGATACCTTCTCCACCTACAACCTCTCCTCTTGCTCTATTCGCTTTTCTTTCTCGCTCACTCTCCCACTGTTTCGTTGGCTGGTCCCAGAGCCTCTTATTTCTTTAACCCTCTTTCGTTTTTTTCCCCGTGGAACGCGGTGAGAAAGTATGCCGGGGGAACACAAAGGATCTGTTCACGTACGAAGGGCGAGAAAAAGGCCTGAACCTGCCACGGGAAAGCTGGAGAAGAGTCGGCCCGGTGCAGATAAGGACGCCCATAAAAGAGATAAAGATTGTTTGTTTGGTCCGGCCGACGCGACCAGCCTTCCGTGGGACACACGGTTCTTCCCCCTCTCGCACCCTTTTCATTCTTATTTCCCGTTCGGTTCGTTCATTTTTGGCCGGCTCCGCGGATGACTTCTATTCTCTCTTGTGCTGGTCTTCTATCGTCTCCCGTTGCTTTGCTACATTTAGTTCCGAACTCTGAGTTGTTTTGGAGTCCTTTGGAATATTTTGGAGTATTTTGACTAATTTTTTAGTATTCTGAGAAATTTGGAGTATTTCAAGAAATTTTTCAGTATTTCGAGTAATTTAGAAGCATTTCGAGTTATTTTCGGGTACTTTGAGTAATTTTGTGAGTTTTTTTTAGTAATCTTGGAGTATTATGAGTATTTCGAGTATTTTTGGAGCATTATGTGTTTGAAAATAATTTTCTTGACAATATTTTAAAGGAATCAAGTTTGTTCTCATAATTAATCATTTTGTGTTCTATAAATGGAATACTTCCTACGATGTTAGTATTTAAAGAATATATATTTGACTTTTGCAATCTGGAGATCAGATCAGATGGCCTATCCGGAATTATTTCAACGACGACAGAGAGTGTCTAGAACGGGGAGTAGATATTTTTAGCGGCATAGTTCTTTTGAGATCCGATTAAAGGGATCAAGAGGCGACTCGACGTTGTCGATCTTAATTGGAGCTAATTGGCAGACCACCTTTTTAAGGTCGCTTGATAGCTGTTTTTACGGCTAACCGGAGATAAATGAGATGCGATGAACGAGAAAAAGGTCGCCTTGGGCTAAATCCCTTCTAATCTGTTGTTCCTGAAGAACGCTTCGTTAGATGAAGACATACTTATTAAATGATTTGAAAAAAAAGGTACGAAAACAACGGGTTAAACCGTCAAGTGGAAATCATTTTCTTTCCAGTCACCCGGTATCGAGATCGCACGCACAAGCGAGCAGAAAACATTCAATTCTCGTCGTAACGAGACACGTAGGTGCATACATACGTACTCACCAACGATCGCAAGATGCTCGTGTGTGTGTGTGTCTGTGTGCACCCGGTTCGAAAGTTTACTTTATATTCCAGCCGTATGTAAATGAGAAACGATCATTCAGTGGCGCGCGGTGTGTAGTAGCCGAGGCTGGTTCACCGGGGGCCAGTTGTGGTCGTGGGTGCACGTGTAAAATCGAGCAAGAAAGCACGCGCCCTGTTCTCTCGTGTTTCTTTCGGTAAAGGGGGTTTTCTCTTTCCGAGCCCCCGTATGCGTCGCTGTCACGCGATAAGAAACTCGATGGCGGTTCACCGATTACCCGACGCTGGTAAAGCAAACGTACGTTCCTGAATGCAAATCGACACCGTCGATGGACGGAACGCCGCGGGACCGTTATCGTACACCACCGGTAAAGAGGAAAATCCATTTACGGGCTGATGCCCGCGATTCACGCGCTTCAACCCTTTCACGGAGAGCACCACCCCCCCCCCCTTCGAGGTCTCGACGACTTTCAATCGCTTTGCTCCTCCGATGCCCGTTTTTATTGCTTGAACCTCGACCTACCGAACCTCGAGCTTCCTTCAGATCGGAAGTTAACTCCTTGAGGCACACGATTTTAAAGAAAATAAAAACCCTAGTTGCACAGAATTTTTTTTAATATAAAAAAGTTATATAAAAATAAAATATTAAACTGTATGACTATGCGTAACTTCAACTATTCGAGGTGGGTTAAAATATATCCCACCATGCATAAAATGCTAAGCAAAAGGTGAGACTAAAAGGGGTTTATAACTTCGGAAATATTAATTTTTGTACTATGCTTGTAGTTACTCTTATTAGACAGTTTCTGCATAGATAGACGACTAAAAGTGTTTCCTCATTCTACGCTTACTACTCGAAATAGAACAACTTGAAACGAAGCTATCGATCAAAGTTTTCTTATCCGAAAGAAGTAAGAAGTCGACGATATACTGTATACCAGTAATGAGCAGAAATTATTTTATATTCAAAGGAAGAAATAACATTTCAAATAGAAAATCATTTTAGAACACTTCGTTGCTTGTACTCTAAGAACATTTAAAACAAAATGACTTTACTAAGAAGAAACTAAATTATTTAAAAGTGATGTTTCACCAAACCTAATTATTTCAGCTGAAACGATGAAAAAGAATTTCATCGATCTGTCGTACTATCGAACGAAAAATAAAAAACAATCTTACTTTCAATAAAATACCTCCCACCGTTATTCGAACAACCCGCTCGAAGCAATATTATCCTAACAATACCCGGGTCCGAGATACCTATGTATATCAACGACGCATCGGAAACAATACACCGCTCGAAGATCAAGTAACAACAGAAGAAAAGAAAACGAAAAAAAGAAAGAACATCGCTTACCGTTAAGATGCACTTGTGACTCGGCGAGACGTAGTCCAATCCACGGTGTCCCTCGCCGCTGAAGCACTTCTGTATATTGGTCATGAACTTCCTCCTAATAGACTTTAACGAGTACACACAGAGCGCGGAATGCGGCTTCGGCACGTCGCTGCTCAGGGTGTCGCCCTCGGAGAACACCGCGAACAGCACGTCGTCCTGAGCGGTGATCCCCAATTCAACGGCGAGAACCGAACCGGCCTTGCCGACGTACGCGGCCTGCACGAGATTGTAATCCACCCCGTCGTTGGTGCAGTTGATCGGTATCTCGGTGTACGAGTAGTAATGCTGGTCGTCCTGGCATACGCGGACCAGCTTCGATATGTAGATCGCAGTATCGGTGTTCTTCATCTCTGAAACCACCGCTGCTGAACCCGTACACGTAATTGATCGGGTATCGTTCCCGTGACAACGAGTTCACGTACATTCTGGTCCCGGTGGTTACCGCCGCTTCCGCGATGTTCAGCATCCTGTTAGAGTCCAGGGATCTAGAGCTGACCGCCGGCACTTCCGATCGATACGGCGAGTTCCCAGTGAACGTTACCCCAACGTACATCACCTGAGAGACAGGTGGATTCGGTGGTCCAGGAGCTATGAACGCGACCGTGGATGCTGTCGCGTTGTTCGCGACCACCGCCTCTTTCACCTCTTGCACAATGTCCGAGATGTTATGAAGATTCCTCACCTGACAGGTGCCCTGCGACACGCTACCGCACGAGATCAGTCTGGTGGTCGTGTAATCGATTACCAGAGCTTTGTTCACGTTGTCGACCGGTCGAGTCGGTGTCTCCCGAGGACAGTTGATCATCGAACATGCGGTCGAGTCCCCTTTCGGGCCGGTCACCTCTTTCACGACCAGGCCCAGATCCGGCGAGAGCTGATACAGCCGGTTCACAGCGCCCACGTACACGCGACCGGTGTTCTTGTCGACTACCAGATGGTTCATGTGCTTCACCTCCGGGTCGTGAAACTTTTGTACTACATCGGCGGGGGTCGAACGAACCGGCAGCCGTGGGGACAACAGCACCAGGATCGACAGCAGCAGACGTAGTTGCCGTTGATGCGACACCATCGATCCCATCCTCGTCGATGTCTCGCCGCCCGGGAAGACTAGCATCCTTACTACTCTACCTTCCTACGCCTACGGGACGACACCACGGTGGCTGTGTCGCGGCGGATCTTACTCCTTCGCTGCGCCCGGGGGATCCTCGCGGAGGCGTCTTCCTGGAGCCTCGCCCAGACCTGCAGAGATAATAGTAAGAGAAAAGATTAGATTTGGTGATTCTATATGGACTAATGGGGGATTTCGTTCGGAGTTCCATTTGCGATCTACAATCTTCTATCGTTTATTAGTGTTTGCCCTCCCATCGAAGACACCGTTTATGGTAAATCATCGGTGAATGTTCGAAGGCTTCTCGGCACTGAACATATTTCAATCTTTATCATTCTGATAAACCTCATTAAGAAGTCTGCGTTGCACCTGGGGACATCTCCTTGTAAGTACCGAGGAGCCTCCGAACACTCATCGAGGATTTACTCGTCTGAAATTTTGCGTGAGTGAATTGTTGTGTTCGTTGCATGTGAATTTGTGTGGGCTCGTGCGAATTTTTCAATGAACGATAGTTACGACTGTTTTGTGAATTTGGTTCGTTCGATAAATTTGGTACAATTCTAAATAAAGCAACTCGTAAGTGAACCTGTATTTTTTCAGAACGAGTTTCTAGGTACTGTTGTACAGCATGTGTGTCGAAGTTTCGTTCAGATAAATTTGAACAGCACTGCTTTAAAATAAATTTTCATTGAAGTGAAGTTCTAAAGGATTTTGGTGTCAATCGTTTTGAGCACATACATGTAGAAGATAAAAGAGGGAAAAGCAATCTGGGCACAAACGCATAAACCCTTAATTAGCACGTCTAATTATGGAATTTCTTTTCTATCATGAACGTTTGTATCTTTACACGTGGACGGAACACTGTGATTTCTGTACGATAGAAGCGTTTCCTGAATGGAAAGAATAGGACTCTTTACGTGCGTTCCTAATTTACCTCCAGAGCTTGCCCACGCTGCAGTTCGGAATTTTATGAAGTAATAAAACGTACCGTGAAACATTTGTCTGTAACTTCATTCTACATTCCACATGGGTGAAAGAAGAAGAAGAAAGAAACCCTGTACGGGTCCGTCGAAGTATGAGCATAAGTGTTAATTTCACGCATTCTTTCTCATTATCACATACGCATAAACTGCACTGTGTAACCAGCCCATCAGAAACAATGAGAATATTCACCAAGTATTAATAAATTTCTATTAATTCTTTGCATTGATTTTAATTCGATACCACAGTGTGCACAATATCATTGTCGTAAATCTTCGAGCTACAAATACGTACCACTGAAAATACAATACTAAAGAAGCATTTGATATCTACCGAGCACGAATTTCTTTACTCGTCCGATTCGTTAAGTACACCGAGCCACGAACGAAGACGGTTGTCAAGAAAGAGAAACTCGGAGTCGGGTCGGAAACATTAACGCTTTCACGAAGAAAGACAATTTTTAGCGTGACTATGCAGGTGCTTCGCAGGCCAACGACACGTCAGACACGAGACACCTTATGCCGCGAAGTAATCGCTCCGATTATCTTTCCAGGCCCAAGGTGAATCCAGCGAACGCACGCGAAGACTCGGCTTGAATTCGGAACAGGAACGTAAATCGGTTAACCCTGCACTTGCATTCTACCAGAAAATGTAATATTTGTCTGCTCTGGGAACTATCGAATTTCTTAAGAAAACTGCAGAATTTTCTTTATTTTAGTCGTAAATTTTAACCCTCCATAAGCAATCATATACATATCATAGAAAACTGAATCGAAACAAAAATAAAACTTTGTAGGAACACCCGAGAAAAATAGGAATTTGCTTGGGTCGTCAATGACTCACATTGCCTACGGAGAGTTAAGAATGTTTGTAATCAAGAAGGTAAGAACATTTCACCAAAGAGAATGACGAAGACTCAGAATAGTGGTCAGTGACGAAACTTGTCAAAACAATATGGCGTCAGTAAACGTGGCCCAAGATGAAACAGGTGATCGAACAAACTACCACACAAGCGTCAAAAGGGACACGCTCTGTCCGCCATAATCGCTCCGCTGCGATCGGAAATGCCCGTTGGTTGGTCAGTACGCGTAGGACTTCATAAATGTCAACGAACGAGAAAGAAAACCGTGCGAGTGAGAAACGAAGGGGAGCGTCGCTCCCCGACAATTTATCGACCACGGAAACCAGGTGCCTTTGAGTCGGACCCCAACGCCCCTGCTCTCCTCTTAACGAAATGAAACGGTCGACTTTCCGTGGAAATACGCGTGAAGAAAAGAAAAAAAAAGATTCCGAGAGCAAGGAAGGAAGAGGGGAACACGACTGGATGCAGACCCGAAGGAAACGTATTCTTCGTTTCTTATCGTGATGGAGGGGTAACGCGTTCAATCGCAACAACAACAACAAAAAAAAGGAAACTTTCCTTATTTCCCCGACTCTCGTCTAGGGGTAGGTACGTAGAGAGTCTCCCTTCGACTCGTCAGACGTCAATTTCAGTGTATGGGAAGAGCAGAGGAAACGGGAAACTCTGTAATTTCGAATCCTCCCATCTTTTCTCCGCCATTAGTTGTAATTATACGCAGCAGTCGGGCGTTTCATTCGAATACTACACAGTGCTCGTATTTCGATCCTATATTTTAAAAAGAAAGGCAAACAGTGTCTGGAAGGTTCGTTCTTACGTTGAAACAATTTATCCGTTCGAATGGTTTTTCGATACGTGTGATATACCTACATTGTTTTACATTTGAAATTGAAATTCTCGTGTTGGTTCAATGAGAAATGGAATTAACTACTCTTTTATGTTTTAGTTGATAGTTCGTTTCATTCGTTGTTTCAAGTTTCTTCATTAACGATTTCAACAGAAAAACTGTTAAATTCAGGTGTTTAACTTTTTTGTTTCTATTTATCGTAAGTAACTTAATTGCATTATTGACAAACGTATTTAACCTATTTGTCCTAACATAAACGATCGATAGCGTCCCGTTTTGCGACAGATCTTCTTAATTTCTCTGAATATCGCAGAGATAGCTTTACATTTTACTAATTGGACACGACTCCCAGGTTTAATGAAGTTTCTAAAGATTGCACGGAAATATCATGGAGAAATGTTCTGTAAATTATGAAGAAGCAGATGGATAAATACCGAGAATCTTTGCAAACAGCGATAACGGGAACACAAACATCGTACGATTCTTTCTAGATAAGCACTGAATACAAGTAGGTCATTCATTTGCGAATGAGAAGCGGCCGTCATCCCGATTCTACAAAATGGAAATACATTTAATCTCGGGAAAGAGAGGATTCAAACGAGCACAAACCAGAAGACCATTCAAGCTATGGAATTATCGTGGAATATAAACGCAGATTACGAAAATGTTGAATGTAAAAATAATAATAAACGATATCCGTAAATGAATGACAATACACTGATATTTCATCGATGGTTTCATCCCTCGTTAGCTTATCAATACTTTATCCTACTATTAGATGTATCAATAAATAGTCCACTATTTCTTCCAATTACGATACGATACATTTAAATTCAAAAGTATTTTCTCGATCTTTCACTTAATAAAAATGGTGTAAGATGCTGGAAAATGATTACAAATATAAGTGAAATAGTAAGTATAGGTCCTTGATTTCCACAGAATTTGATTTCGTCAAAACAAACCTTATTGTAATACTAATTAATAATTTATTCTAACGAACGAAAATTCGCCCAAATACATTCAACTAACAGAAAAAACATGTTATAATAAAACTAAACTCAACCATAATTAACATTAAAACTAAAAAGGAGAAGAGAGGAAGAAAAGAAGAAAAATTTCAACAAAGATCGATACACCCTATTATCACGATTACCTACTCTACCAAAACGACACGATATCATAATCAATTTCAAGCCATCCTCCCCCGCACACACAGACGCAAGAAAGATCGATCCAACACCGATGTCCTCTATCTTCGATACAACCGCCAGATTCCTCCAAAGAAAATTAACTCGCGCTCTCCCGTGTACGTAGATAAAGCGAAACACAGGCTTTTAAGCAAATCCACGGGGGTGGTGAACACGCAACGATCCGCGTGCAAACGAAAGGAAGGAGGATCGGCGCGTCGGGTTATCCAACGACTCGATAACTATCGAGATATCCAAGAACGTAGCGCGATTCCACGTAGAAGGAAAGCCGCGGAACACGTTCGGGGCAAAAGGTATGCGTGTGCACGGAACCGACTCGTTGGTAGCCTCCACCTTCTCCTCCCCCACCTCATCCTGCTGTTTCTATCCACGCGCGCGTTTACGAGAGAGATCAAAAGGAAAGATGGCCGGCGTACGTAGAGCCGTCAGGCTCGGATATCTGATGAGCGCACGCGTGCCCTTTCCGCCGTGCAATTCCCATTGTGCGGCCAGGAACCAAACGACACACACACACACACACACACACACACGTAGCCATTCGATGTGGGCTAAAACCGTAATTAACGGCCGTCTTAATTGCCAACAGTTTACACCGTGGTATTACCGATCTGACCGACGACGACGACTCGTCGCAACAGAGACAAGGACAGGGAGTCGGCCATCGCGGGGACACAATCACCTTGTTTCTTCTGCTCTCCTCTTTGCCATGGGAAAATCAAACGGCCGTGAAACGACACTTTAATTAGCGTGTTTACGAGCGAACCGACCGACCGACCGGCCAGAAGAGCGTACGACAATTTTCTGGGATTAATCGTATCTACACGCCTTCCTCTTTCTCTCTCTTGGTCACGGAAAAAAAATTCTGACTCGTTGGAAACTGAAATGGCCCCTTGAAACACCGAGTCGGAGTTAGTTACTGCTGCGTTGGTTGTTACCTCACCCTCAAGGGGAAGGGGGAAAAAAACGTTGATTTTCTTTCATTATTTTTGTATCTTGATGAGAAATGGGCTTTGGCAGAGTTGAAATAACGTGTAATGAACGGAGAGTTTGATTGAAGGGCATGGGTGTATGGAGGACGTTGCGAAATCAGTGGGATGAATTGCATGGGCTGATGAGATTCCTTGAAAAATGCACGAACCAAAAGAGGAAAAAGCGTATATTCCATCTGTTTCTGGATTTATTAACCCGCATCCGTCGGTCGTTTTCCCAGCTTTATTTCGTCCTTCGGTGCCAAAT